GGGGGTAACACACCAACTTTGATTACTTAATGGTCCCCCTCTTCTCTCTCAACAAATAAATAAATAAATAAAGCTGTGCAGCTTTATGCACTGTTTGCGATTCGAACTTTTATGCTCGGAGTGGAGTGCAAGCTCTTCTGGGCGAGATCCAAGCTGTCAGCACCACACTAAAAGTAGAAAGACTAATTATTCGAATTTAGAAATAATCTTCATTTCATTCATCTATATTTGTAAATTTTTTAAAATATATTTTTTGTATTATCTTGTATTAGTCAAAATTTACTACAAAAACATTTTAATAGTAACAAAATTAATCTAATCATTTGATATATTTATTAATCTATTTATATTATCTATTATTTATTAATATAAATTATATAAAAAAAACTTAGATATAATATATAATATCGTGATATATTTGAGAACTTTTTAACTTATTTCAAAATTAATATTTTATATAAAAATTATATTAAATTGATCTTAAATTAAATTTAATTATTTTCAAATTCATCATGATATAATTTTATTTTATATAATCAAATATTTAACACTTTTACAGTTAAAAATTTTCAACTATTTTTAACATAATTATTTTTAATTTATATTTCTGCTTTTTATCATATATAGTTTAATATTATCATTTTATCACTTTTAATTTACCCATAATAGAATTTTTTTTAATTACAAAATATTGAACATTCAAATATGAGGGACCAACACAACTAATCAATTATGTACAATGAGACAATGACTCTTTTGAATTGGTCTTGTTTTTCGAACATTTAGATTAAATAAGGCAAACGCGTACGCATCACATACTCAAACTTCGAACCAAGATCTCTCGGTTGATAGTCAAAGCTGCCAACTAATATATCAGAATGAACCGCATAAATTATTCCTTTAATTTTGATAGGGTAAAGAAGTTTTGTTACAAGTGGCCCAACTAAAACGGATAAAATGTCCGGGATTATTGTTTGGGGAATTTTTGGAGAATAAAAAAAACCATAGGTAAATAATTCATGCATGAAACGTTTAGGTGCAATTTTTTACATAAGAAATGAGAGTATTTATTTGTCATTAGTTCAATTTGCATGTAATAAGAGATCAAACTAACAAAATTCATTTTAAACATAAGGCTTAAATATGTGGTTTCATTCAATAAGATTAAGATTTTATTTAGGATAATTTTCTTACTATTTTCTAAAACAGTTTTTTAGTATAAAAGTTTTTTGAATAAAAAATTTTTGTATTAAAAAGCTATTTTAGAAAGCAATAAGAAAGTCGTCTCAAACAAAGCCTAAATTGATTAGTGGGTGCAATAATGTTCATAGAGTAGGAAATTCATAATCATAATTGTAATGATTTTTAGCTAATACTAAGAATTAGTACACTGTATGTAATATTCTACATTTTTTATATGATTTGAGTTATTTGATTTTTTTTAATTTTATTTAGTCTATATATACATGATTGTAATTGATTTTGAATAATGATACAAATGAAAATAAAGTTGAATATTGTTGCATCTCTTGTCTTCTTCTCTTATGAAAGTTGTACATTTATTAAGTCATTCACTAAATTTGATGAATTTTTTAGATTTGTGAACGCTCAAATGTTGGGCCAAAAATTTTGAAAAATTACTTAAATTCAACAAATTTATAATCAATATAGTGTGGTGTGAAGAGCAAAATCCAATGAGACAAAAATCACTCAAAATTAAGTACAAATGTGCTTAATTGCCTAAAGTCAAATAGGCGTTTCAACATGACTAATTTGATGACTCTAAATATCACAATTTTAAGTTTAGTAAGCCAATGATATTTCTAAAAAAATGAAGG